GAAACGTGTAATGTATTGGCGCAACACATTTCGGACATTATGATCACACACGTACTTGAAAGCATGAATAATTACAATACAGGTCAGATTGTGTACAGGTCAAGGTCACGAAATAATGGGTAGGGAGACGCAAAAGGTGTGGGTAAGAAAGATAAAGGGAGGGAAAAAAAGGCAAAGAAAGGGTTTGAAAATATTATGAAGTAAATTGGTCCTTGGTTCTAAGTTGGATTACCAAGGCAGGTTTAAGGTGATAACAAATAATTTTTGGACGCATAAGACAGGTTTAAGTCTTTTAATGGCTAAGGCTTCAATGAATTTAAGTATGTGACCCAACCTTGTCTTATTTATCGGCTTAAAGGCATTATTAAAATCAACCTTATAACCCGTCTCTAAAATATGCTTCGCTATAGATGATGTTGGACATCTATTTCCGGGGTCAATTGTATCTGGCGATTTCATTTGTTGTTGCAGCCACTTTGGAATGTGTTCTGTAGCCCTAACATGCAGAGACCGATGGGTCCTCCCTATGTACGTGTCTCCACACATACATGTGAATTGATAAACACAGTGGGATGTGACACTATCGTTCGGATAATGTGAGGGTTTACAGGACAGCATAGTTTTCGTTTTCTCTATGAAGATAAGTTTAGCTGCATAATAGGTTCTACTAATTGCGGCCTTTAGTCTTTGTCTAGTGACTAGACTTTGTTGATCACCTCTGAACGGCAAGGATATGTAAACATCCTTTTTGGGAACTGATTGGATTGGTAAAGCTGTGTGGTTGACACTTCCATAACGTCTAATAAATCTCAGTGGGTAATTGTTATCTAACAATATTTCAGTGAGATGTTGTCTTTCTTCTTCAATTGTATCGGCGGTACATATACGGTGAACGCGCTTGAACAAACACTTAACCAACGCCTTTTTATACTGTAGTGGACAGAAACTATAGTAATTTAGATACTGTCCAGTCCATGTTGACTTCCTGTAGACAGATCGTTTTATTGACCCATCTTCTCTGCGGGTTATGAGTACATCTAAAAATGGCAGGCATCCATTATTCTCTTTAACATAAGTTAGCGATATACTATTTTGTGCTCTGTTGACCTGGTTTAGGATTTCTATGGCGTCGATCGGTTGATCACAAATGACAATTATGTCATCTACATATCTTTTATAGAAATACACTTTTCCAATTTCTTTCTCCACTAGGTTCTCAACATGCGACATATATATATCAGCTAACAATGGACCTAGGGGGCTTCCCATAGCAACACCATCGATCTGGCGATAATGCTCGCCCTCGAATGTAAACTTAACATTTTTAGTACAGAGAAGCAGTAACTCTTTTAAGTAAGATGTAGATACTGGTAATAAGAAATCGTTGTCAGAAATGAAGTCACATAAAATGTCAACCGTCTGTAAAAGAGGTACATTTGTAAATAAAGATTCGACATCTAGGGAAAACATGGTTTTGTCTTTTATATTAACGTTATCAAGACAATCAATTAACTCAAAAGTGTCTTTCAAAGAGAACTTACAGAAACTTCTTCTAACAGGCTCTAGTATTTCCACTAGCCACTGTGCAAGTTTGTGGGTTGGAGATCTGCACATTGACATTATGGGACGTAGAGGAATGTTAGGTTTGTGTGTTTTGGGTAGACCATACATGTGTGGTAATTGAGACTGTGTGGGCTTTAATGAATTGAATTTTTCTCTGTTAATTGCATTCATGTTTAAAAGTTTTACTAGATTATTCGTCACCATATTTTGTACATTCTTAACATCCTCAGGACCGGAGTCTCTCATAAATTTATCGTTGTTTCCAAGAATGCATAACATTTTACTTTTATATTCAATTTTGTCCATTATAACTACACCTGACCCTTTGTCTGGTCTGAGGATAACGATGTCAGTATTATGTTTGAGTTCTTTTAACGCTTTAAAATGCTCAGGTGTTAGGATACTTTTCTGAAATGTACGACTATTGCAAAATTGGTGAGCAATGTCCACTAACTTTGCTTTGAACCAACTGTGATGATCTTCAGAAACGGGAGTAAGAGGCTTCAGCTGGTCATATAGATTTTCAAATTGTGCGTGTACTTCAAGTTCTGAGAAATACTTTTGGGGAACGCAAAATTTAAATCCAAGTGATAAGGCTTGTTCTTGTAACGATGAAAGAGTTATGGAAGATAGGTTGACAACGTATTTCTCTGGATTAACAGGGAAAGGAGTTACAAGTTTATTGTCATTAAGTGATTTGTCTAGCTTCTTACGCATGTTTGCTTTTGTTTTACCAGCGAGAGATGCACAGAAGGCAATGAATTTCATGTGACATATTAAAGATAATTCCGACAAAACGGATGAAGCAGATGTATGAATCAGCAATAATTGTTGCAGCTTTTCTTCAGCTTTTTCAATATGCGATTTGGCAAGGCGAATAAGGTTGGAATTATTTGGTTGCAGTTTACTTGATTTCAAAATTTTATAGAAATGTCTTGGGTAGGTGTGATTAGAAATACATGATTTATAAAATTCCAGTCTTTCACGTTCTGAAATAATTTTGCACTTAAGGTTCACAAGATCATCCAGCTTCTTGATAGTGCAAGGAGGGAGTCTTCTCTTCAAAAATTTAAAGCAATTGGTTCCAATGTATTGGCGCAACACATTACACGTTTCAGATAAACTACGTCTTCTTATTGTTTTGTCGAAATTCATAAAGGGAACCAATTGCTTTAAATACTAAATGAGGCAAAGTAAACGTGAATAACATTTTTTAAACGAAACTAGTAATTATCCAGCAGAACATCGTGTTTCTTCAAGAAACTCATTCATCGCAACGGTCGGTCTACAATCTTGGCTGATACTTTGTGGTAAAACAACTCTTTTGTCATACAACTTCGCCACCTGTAAAATTTGCAACATTAGTAGCTAATTAGAGGTCAGAATAGTCAGATCTCCCTGATTAGTCAATGAAAATCTAGTAGAGAATGTACACTGTTACAGATAAGCTTCTTCTTTCAGAGCAGCTTCATAGAACCAGACTGCCTAAGCTGTATTATTAAAACTCATACGTTTCGGAACAGCTCATTCAACCTTTAATAAAATAGAACTTGTTATAATGGACATTCGATAGTGAGTATACTGAACCTAATTCTAAATAATTTAGTATTATTAAAATTTTGATTATTTTAGGCGTTTCCAGTGCTCTAATCATTTCCTAGAACGCTTAAAATGCTTGCTTCTTATATCTCCTATCTACGTTTTTGTTTTGGAAGAACATTTTCAAGCTGGTCTTTTGCATAGTTTGAACGGGTCGAAGGAAGAGTTATTAGCCAGACAGTGTCTGAGAAGTAACAGGAGAATCATATGAAATGTACACTGTTGAAATAGGCAACGCTTATACGTATATTTCACGTGGTATTTAAAACTTCAGTATCTTATTCGCAATAATCTATAACTTAGAGGTAAAGGTGATATAGTGATAAATAGCTTTTTTATTCTTAACTCTCGTGATTCACGTGACTAAGTTTACGCCTCAATAACAAATACGCTTTTTTATTTCATAATGAATTCATTATATGATGAGTAAAAAGATAGTTTGTTAACATCACAAAACTTATGATTAGTAGTTGCCAGTGATAATAACCAAGGTAACTTTGAGGCAATTCACGTTCAATTGAAAAATATTTCACTTGCAAACTTTATCAGCAAATTAGTTGGATGAAGGCCTTCGCTACGTCGTTACAGATTGCCTATGATTTATTTACTGAAGATCAATTCCCTAAAATAGATTTATCCTGTACGAAGTTAAGAGCAACAATAATTGTCGAATACCTGGTGATACCACCTAGTTGCCCAGAATGAAGTAGGTGGAGCGGTACTTGAATCCGTGACCCGTCGACTGAAAACCTAGTACACTCAAGGGCCAGTGGTGAGTCACATCTCCACAACAGGTAAAGAACTTGTATCTATTACCTCCTGATCAAACCTGATACCAAAAAAGTGTATCAATGTCACATCATTGAACATAGTGCACATTTACTCGGTATTCATCGATGAGGCGATTGGAATCTGATGCGTACACTACCTAGCAACCGATAAATGATTGATTCCGCATACACTTATGTTTTACATGATTGGACAAATATACCAGGATTGGTTTGATTTTTTAAAATTTCTTTTATTACAGCTTGATTCCACACTGTATTTTTGGTACAAGTATGGAATTTTCAGCACGGATATCGGTAGCCCAAATTTCGCAGGCCGACCATAGATATCAGGTGTGCATCGGCAGGCGACCGAACCTCGTACCATGTGCATGGTCGGCGAGAGTCCTAACCACTGTGCCACCAACGCAGAATTAGACTAACGAAATTTCAGAAGTTAGAATTCATGGGCCATTGGATCGGGGCCCAGAGGCTCAATGGTACACGAGCTCGCCTTGTAACCAAAAGGTCCTGGGTTTGAACCCCGGTTGGTGCGTACTGCTGAAGAGTCTCAAACTAGGACGAAACAGCTGTCCTCTACTCCCAATCGGTTTTCCAGTGGTTCTCTAACTGATGTCAGCTCATGATGAAATCATGTAACCAATCAAATCCCTACAAACCAACACTTGAATAACGAAATTTCAGTTTTAAACTTGACGAAAACACAGGAAACATGAAAAATATTATATTAGACCAAAATACAAAAGAAAAAAAGAAAAAAACAAGAAAACAACTTACACAGAGATTGCCAAACAGATGGAAAAAAACAGATTAGCGAATAATACGCCTACGAAGCATATACCACGTGTTGGTAGTAGTAGTAGTAACCATAGAAATAACATATTCATGTGCAATTACTAAGAAATAGTTTGTTTTTTCAAAAAATTGTCCTATTCATGTCAATTTGTGAAATAAGGAGGGAAAGGGAGAGGGGGAAAAGAATAAAATAAGCAAAACATTCCCAAGGATAAAAGATAAAAATAAAGCCCCCTTCAGAAAAGAAAATGAAAGTCAGTGACTATTTACCATTACACCATTACCACCACCAACGACAACTGGTGAATGAGAGTGCATCACATTTGTATCACAATTTTCATCAGCTTGATGTTTTGTATTAGCACTATTCACATTCTGTTGTGAATCATTAACCGGCCAGTTTTTTTGACAGCTGCTCACCTGTAAAGAGACAGTAGAAAAAAAACATACAAGTCGATAAAATACTTTAATACAGAAACAAATTTTTACAACCTTAGTAAATTCTATTCCTTCATGTTCCCGGTCGAACATAAGGCTTCATGCTTGAAGCTTTGGAGTATCATTAGCAGTAATGTTTCTTTATGTGGAAAGGGGTTACTAGCGTCGCGCCCAATCCCTCGCCTTTTTACTAGACCTGGTGTGGTGAGATCTGGCTGCTAGCCAAATTGGTAGGCATTAATTTTCGCCAATGTGTACGTCCCCAATATTGGTCATGAGAAAAATAAGAACAAAGACTGACTCAACAACCAATCACAGAAGACTTTGCGTAGGGGGATACAATTTGCAGACAGATAATCTGAACTTCAATAAACGGCCACAAGGAGATGAAAGATTAACTCCATAATGGATAAGATTTTATTTTTATAAACCACACACAGTGTTGTACAGTTATATTAACTGATAGGATATGATTATGAGCAATAGTTTGTGCTCGAAACGTCATCAGTTAATATAACTGTACAACACTGTGTGTGATTTATCAAAGTAAAATCTTATACATAATGGAGTTATACTCTACCACAGTGCCCAAGTTTGATTTGAAAGATTAACGTTCAGCGAGAAGCCACCAATCAGAAGACTGTGTTTGTTTGCTTAAAATAATCTATAATAATGTACACGAAAATCTTTAAGTACGTGTTGATTTCCTAAATAAACAGTCTGCTGCCTGGCCCTTCTCTTCCGTCGTTATACTATTACAAGCTAAGCAAGGTTTAGGAACACGTCAACTGGGAGTCTAACTCGTATTCTACCACTGAACTACCGACACACATTTTTAGGAGTGGGGGGGATATATAATGAGTCGGACTGACCAAGCGACCTGTATACTACACATATGACCTTAGTGTAGATTAAAGGTCATACCAGAACATAGTCTTTTTATATCTCAAACTGGTAATTTATCGGTAGTGTGAATTAAGTATATAATTATTAGCTCCAACAACCTTTTCCTTGGAGCAATAAACCCTGACTTCTTAAGTGGTGGTTGGTGACTAGCAGTGGAATCCAGGATGCGCATTTCGTCCTGATTTGGACTCGCCACATGAATGTACCTGCATTCCCCAGTCAGTGAGTGATGATGTTCCCACCAAGGATCGAACCCAGTGTCCATAGTTTCAAACGCCAAAGCGTTATCTGCTAGACCACTTGGGCCCCGAGAGCCACTGTCTCTTGTGCAACGGGTCACATTAATTTAATTGAATTTTTGATTCTCCCGTCGATTGATTGGACCGAAGTGCTCGGTCTCAGTGGTGATGTCCCAGCCTCGGTGGGAACATCACCACTCACTGAGAAATGCAGGTACATCCAGATGACGAGTCCCAAATAGGACGAAACGCGCATCCTGGATTTCACTGCTAGTCACTACCACCGATTAAATTCTAATTAAATGCCCAGGCATCGTCGAAGCATCTGCACAAGAAGCCGATATGTCAACCTGACACCAAGCACTTCGGCTCAATCAATCGACGGGAAAATCAAAAATTCAATTAAGCTTAACCTTCTTAGTTTGACTTTTGTGTCTTTCTCATCGTGGGAATAGTATCCAAGTGATTAGTGATATATTGTTGTGTATTGAAACAGTAATAAGAACAAACTCAAATCTAGTATTATATCGTGCTCACAACAACTAATTTGCATCATTAAAGTGTACCACTTATTGCAGACCTCCTCTGATTATGAGAAGCAGATTTCACATCTACCTGAAGCATACTCTTAAAGATGATTAGAAAAATTTACATCTTGAAATTACTACGAAAAAATCAGCCCGGAGTTCACAATTCCATATTATCCCTGTTCTTAATTACGTCATTCATCTGTTCGAGGTTAACCAACGAAGTAATAAAAAAAGAATCTAATATTAATGAAAACATTAAATAAAACACCTATTCCAATATGAATATGTTGCCAAGGTATTATTATTATTATTTTATCCTTTAGTTCCTAGAGGAACATAGGGCTTCAGCTGTGCGCCTCAATTGCGTCCGGTTCTCTGCCAACTTTTTCACCCCGCTCCAAGTCTTCACACACGCTTTCATCTCCTCCTCGCATGACCTCCTCCAAGTCACCCTTGCACTGACGACCAACTCGCCGCTTCCCTTTCGAGTTCCAATTGAGGGCTTGTCTAGTGATGTCGCTTGATGGTTTCCTCAGGGTGTGACCAATCCATCTCCATTTCTTCCTGCCTTTTTGTTTCACAATCGGTTCCTGCTGGGTTGGTTCGCTCATTGCCAGAGATCCCTGTTGCTGATCTTTTCTGGCCATCTGATCTTGAGTATTGAGCGAAGACGACTGTTGATGAAGGTCTGGAGTTTGTTTGAGATGCTCTTTATGACGCGCTGGCCAAGTCTCTGATCCGTACAGTGAGTAGCACTGACTTCACATTGGAGTTGAAAATCCGGATCTTATTTTTGATGCTGAGTGCTGTTGACTTCCACACAGAGTAATGAAAGCCTGCCTTGCTTTTCCGATTCTGGCTTTGATATCCTCGTCAGTTCCGCCTGTAGTTGAAACGATACTTCCCAGGTAGGTAAAGGAGGTTGTTTCTTTCAGGTTCCTCCCATTTATACTGGCTGGCTGATTGTTGTCTGTTGTTGTTGTTGCTGTTGGCGTTGGCCAGGAATCTTCATCACCTCTGTTTTATCTATGTTCACTTGAAGTCCTATCTACTCTGGATGCTTCTTCAGCCAACCTGTTGCTTTTCACTTGCATATCTTCCAGTTTCTGGGAAATCAGACATATATCATCGGCGAAGTCCAGATCCTCCAAGTTTTTTGTGTGAGTCCATTTTATGCCTGTTTCCTCATTGCCCGTCTGTCTGTCTGCAATGAGGAAGATCATTGGCGATAGTAGACAGCCTTGTCTCACCCCCGTCCTCACTTCGAAGGCTTCCGTAAGTTTCCCGTTGTGGATTACTTGGCATGCAGCATTGTCATATAATTGTTGGATGAGATGTATAATTGTCGACGGCACCCCGTAGTAGCGAAGTAGTTGCCAAATCACCTCTCGATCGGCGCTGTCGAAGGCCTTTTCAAAGTCGATGAAGTTGAGTGAGGCAGAGAGGTGACTGCCATTCCAAGCTTTATTCAATGATGATCCGTAGAGTGGCGATTTGATCAATACATTACTTATTTCTCCTGAATCCAGCTTGTTCTGGTAGAAGTTTTTCATCCGGGTTGGCTTGTTTGATTCTCTCCAGGATAATGTGGCTTAGTATTTTGCTTGGGATGGACAGGAGCGTAATTCCACGCCAGTTTTTGCATTGACGTAAGTCTCCTTTCTTTGATAGTTTGAATAAGTATCCTTTCTTCCAATCTTCGGGTACTTTGCCCGCTTTCCACACCTTCTCCAGCAATGGCATCATCAAGTCCGCTGTTGTCTCTGGGTCCATTTTCAATGCTTCTGCTGGGATTCCATCTGATCCTGCTGCTTTTCCGGCTTTTAGCATCTTGATTGCATTCAGGACCTCTGATTTCGTCGGAGGGTCGATGTTCACTGGTAGTTTTGCTGCCGTTGTTGGTATTGTTGGGCGCGTTGTAGGTGGCGGACGATTTAGAAATCTTTTGAAGTGTTCAGCCCAGTGTTTTCTTTGCTTAACCTCTTTGGTGATTGACTTTCCATTGTCATCCTTTACTGACTTAATCTGTGTCGAACTTTTTCCCGATAGGTTCCTAGTTGTTTGGTAGAGTGTGGCGACGTCTCCTTTGCCTGCAGCTTGTTCTGCTTCGTTTGCCATGGTTTCATAATATCTTCTTTTGTCTTCCCTAGCACTCTTCTTTTATCTTTTGTTCAGTGTATTGTAGCTTGCATTCAACTCCTGTTTTTGTTGCTCGTCGGTGCACTGGATAATCTTTTCTTCCACCGTCCTTCTCTCTTCTTTTAGTTTCCAAGTGTCCGCAGTGAGCCACTGTTTGTCCTACCTCTTCTTTCTGCCTAGAACGTCCATGCAGGTTTCACTCCACACCGTTTTCTAGTTATTCCAGTGCTTTTCGACGCTGACCTTTTCTCTGGTGTTAATTTGTGTCTCGGCTTTGTCCTTTACGCTAGCAATGAAGATGTCCTTTGTATCTTGGTCCTTCAGTTTTTGAGTGTTGAACTTGGCTTGTGGTCTATCTGCAGCTCCTGTTCCCCTGAAAGCTTTTAATTTGATTTGGATTGTCCCTTGTACGAGATAGTGGTCTGAGCCAACGTCTGCTTCTCTTCTTACTTTTGTGTCCAGTAGGATGCGCCTCCACTTCCTTGAGCAGCATTGAGATGAAGTCAATTTGGTTTTTGGTTTGCCCGTCTGGTGATACCCATGTAACCATGTGGATATCCCTGTGTTTGTATACGCTGCAACCAATCACTAGTTCGTTGAAGGCGCAGAAGTCGGCGAAGAGTTCTCCATTTTCATTCATTTCTCCGGGAGCTTCTTTACCTATGATGAGTTCTCTCCCTGTGTTGTCTGGTCCTAGTTTGGCGTTCATGTCTCCCATTAGTATTTTAATGTCGCCTGCTGGAGTATTGTCCATTGTTGCCTGTAATTGTCTGTAGAATTCTTCTTTCTTTTCGAGGTCTGCGTTGTTTGTGGGTGCATAACATTGTATAATTGACACTTCCCTTCCCTTGGAGTTGAATCTGGTGGTCATTATCCTGAACGAGATCGCCTCCCATTGCATCAGGGCCTTTGTTGCCGTTGTTGACATCATGATAGCCACGCCCTCGGTGTGCGTGTGGTTATCTTTTGGGTGACCGAAGTAGATCACTGACTCAAGGTAGTACGAGAATATATTCTTGTGAAAGAACACATTCAAACGACATTATTATCAACGAAATATTGTAACTGATGGTGAAAAATAACCTTTTAATATGTGTGATGAATGAAAAGATAATTCACCATGTATACACATATATACCGCGTAAAACAATCGTGTCATTCGAACTTATACGAAAACTATCAAAAGTTGAAGGGCTAAACGCCTCAGTACATTCTTGAACATGAGCTGTAATAACTACCAGCGGTACTACAGTTTAAGCATGGTGAATCAGACATATGTGCACTTCCATCCCTAGTATTAGAAATGGGAAACAATTGCTTTTATCTCACACCAACAGCCTCATAGGAGACATTTCAGAATATTTCTATGTCAAGACCACAATGATTATAGGTCAAGAACTATGAAAAGCTATTTGGTAGTATTATATGAATCTTTAACAAAAAACATCGCTGAATAAGTCGCTGGTTCACTGCTCAGCAGCCCGCTCCATCCTCCTTTATGGCTGTGAGACCTGGCCATTGAGAGTGGAAGAAATGAAAAGATTAGCTGTCTTTGATCATAGGTGCCTGCGCTCTATCTTCCGTGTGAAGTGGTATAATAAGGTGAGCGATATTGAGGTTAGGCGTCAAGTGCTAGGTAATGAGGGGAAATCAATAGACGAGGCCGTGAAGTTACATAGACTTGCCTAGTCATCACCTTCCTCGCTGACAGGCAGTGTTAACTGACATAGGGTCAGGCTGGAAAAGAGCTAGAGGTGGTCAAACCAAAACATGGTCTCATCAGTCAATGAAATCCACAACAGTTCGTTTAAGCCAGCCACGTAGGAAGGTGTAGACTTCCTGACCGGTTGGGGTCCTCGGGACGGTAAAAACCAATGATTGGAAACAATTGGTGACATGGCTCAAAATCGTTCTCAATGGCTGGTGCAGATGCATCCACTCCTTGTGACTTATGATTTCCAATGAAACTATATTGTTCTTCGTTATTACTATTCCTTTGTCTCACACTTCTGTTTACTGTCTCTATTATTCATTTCTTCTACTTTCTTCTCTTGCTTTGTGTGCTACATGGAGTTTGACGACTTGAACTGCCACACATCGGTGCAAAGTTCTATGTTGAAAACAGACAAACAGAATAAGTCGCTTGAATTTACATGCAGTAAGATATACACTTGAAATACATAGTACTTACTCTTTCACCCATTGTAACAGCCATCCCCTGTGTTTTAGCTCGAATTCTTACATGACCGGTGACAGGTTGATCAGCTTCTGATTTTTCCAAGCATAAATTAGCTAAAACATGTTCACCAAATATTGTCTTTGCATAAAGTGTAACACAAAGATAATCACAGTCGCCAAGCAGAGCTTCAGTAGGCGTAAGACAACGCAAATTTGTATGACTTGTAATCTGTGACAAATAGGTGAATAGATCCTTGATTTGCGTATTCACAGTGACCTGATTTTGAAGAGAGAAGAAAAGAAAAAGATGAATAGACAAGTGAGTATATAAAAAGGAGATTGCTTGAAAGTAACGTTAGTTTATTGGACGTTGATTTTTCGGAATGTTGTATAATTAAAATAACTTTTTTAAATGCTCAACTTTCATCGGCCTAAATATATTGAATCTAAAGGGATCAGGAAATAATAGAAAATTCCAAAATACTTATTTTAATAATGAATTAAGAACTGAAAAAAATAACATTTGAACTGATTAAAAATGACCATTAAAATTTTCAAAAGAATAGTTACTGAACAAAGCAATTTAGTAAGGACCCTCAATCACAGGGTTAGAGGTATATGCTCAGAAGAGGTAATTGAAGATGAACGAAGGATTGTACACATGACATCCTGATTGAAAATAGCTATCTAGACAGATTCATCAGAAAACATATGATAAAGAAAGTTGAAAAGGACTATTCACTATTCGTAAAACAGAAGCCTTTATACATACGACAGCAACTGAAGGGCGACATACCTAGCGAAATAATTACAAAGAAGTTAGGAAAATCAGTTCAAAGAACTGTTAATTCTGGCAAACTACAAGTCTTATTTTTTATACGACCGGTGGCAATTCCCCAAATGAAAGATGAAGTACCTAAACTAGCCACTTCTAACTGTATCTACCAATTCAACTGCGCTTATGGAGCGAATTATATCGACCGTTGCTCTTGGAGCTTGATTTTTCGTGCTCTCGAAAATCTACCTGTGTGGTTATATAAAGGTGTCGTCAGAAGCATCAATAGCGCGATATTAGAGCACCAGGTGCAAACCGGCCACAAAACCAGCATTTAAGAATCCTTCTCTATCATCTATCGGGTAGCAAATAAATTGCCAAAGCATCCAGGTAGCGTATACTCCAAAAGCTGAGACTATTGCGATTCACCTTAAACAACCAGGAATTTGTGTAGAGAAGAAGTCCAGCTAGCCCCTACTACTCCCGTGGCCTTCAGTGGAGACTGTAAATTCATGAATTTGTAACACTGTTTTTCCTAATTTGTTTGTCTGATATTCAGTGTATTGTTATGTTGATGCTATCGAATTATAATTCATTGATATTACCATTGATTCGATGTTATTAAAACATTAATTATTCCAATAATTTGGGCTTGAAACGTCATCAGTTAATATTACTGTACAACACCGTGTGATTTATCAAAATAAAATCTTATCTATAATGGAGTTATACTCTACCACAGTACCCAAGTTTTATATTAATGTTATTAATAACACTAATTCATTCACTATAATGCATATATAACTGTAGAACCTGACGATGAAGTTATCGAGAATAATATTCTTTGTTCAGTAACCATTCTTTTAATCTACTCAGCTCATGGAACACAGTAATACCAAAGCACAAATAAATAAAAGAAGAGGCGTTCAGCGAAGAGTCATTGTTTTCAACAATATCATTCTTAAGCTATACAATCGAATATATATATATATATATATATATATATATATATATATATATATATATATATATAGCGAACAACATATGTATTAGTTCCATATTAGTTTGATTATTAAATGTATCACACAGTGAAACACTATTGTATACTGGATGACGTTTCGAACACAATTTATTGTTCATAATCATATCAATTTTTTCAATAATTTAATAATTCCCATTGTAGCATTAAGAACACAATTTTCAGCGAAGAGACTCTTTTCAACGAATTTATTATCAAGCTGTACAATCGTATATATATGGTTTTATAAAGAAATTATATCCGGTGAGGGAATTAGGTCAAAGGTGTAAATACATGAAATAATAATAGTATGAAATAAACTTAAAATATTTGTGATTAGGTTCATAGTTTAAGTCAAGTGGAACAATAATTAATGTCATATATAAGATAATACATCGGGTGTATAGATTTTGGGGAGAGGCATATAATTGTAAGATTAATAGACGAATGTAAAATGTTACGTAATATGGTGTGAAATTTGATAACATAGAATTTAATATTGTAAAAATAAAGATAAAAAGTATACACATGAATAATTTTTGGTTTAAAATGTCAAGTAGATCAAGTGGAAAAGATTCAGAATGAGAGTCGTAATAATAATAATAATGATAATAATAATAATAATCGAAGTAATAAGGGAAAAGTACATAAAATAATAAAATAAATGTCTATCCCTCTACGGCCAAGGCAGCAGTAGGGATTGTACATACTTCTTTTGTACACAAAGGTCTGGCTTAAAGTCATGAATTGCCAAGGCCTCAGCTGTCTTTAGAAGTCTGTAACGAAGAAAACGCGGGAAGTTGGCATGAATTCTGTATATGACCTTGAAATCATGGTCAGGGTTGACCGAGTGACAGGAGTCGATGAGGTGTTCTAAGATAGAACTTCGCACACATTTCCTTTCTCCCTTGTAAAACCAAGCTGGAATATGTTCTCGTATCCGTGTGGAGAGCATTCTCTGACTACGGCCAATGTACCTTGCTCCACAAGAGCAGGTGAACTGGTAGATGCACATGGAGGCGGTCAGACGGGGGAGCTTATCTTTTACAGAGGTAGAGAACAGTTTGCGGCTCGTGAACGTCATATGTAATCTAGCTGCAGGGAACGTTTTACTAACTGATTTAGAAAGACGATTTTTGAGCATATCAGAAGCTTGATCTCCTTTGAATTCCAAGTTCACGAATAGGGTTTTCTTTGGAACTGAGTCAGTGACCAGTTTAGACTGCTTCTCTTTCATGTTTCTGTCAATAAATCGGTTAGGGTAACCGTTTTCTGCGAGTGTGGCTTTCAGGAAGTCAAGTTCTGAGTAGACGCAATCAGAACTACAAATTTTCCTTATCCTAAAGCAGAGTGAATGGATTAAATTCCTTTTCCTGGAAATAGGCACCCAACTGTAAAAATTAGTTAGTTGTCCGTTGTACAGCTTGATAATAAATTCGTTGAAAAGAGTCTCTTCGCTGAAAGTTGTGTTCTTAATATCAATTTTTGTCACACGACTTGGAGATTTGATTTTTATAGTTTTCTTTGTCTTCTATTTGTTGTAATGGTAGTAGAATTTTCCATATATCTGGGACAGGTGTTGAATCGTTTCTATTACATGTATTTGCAGTTGATTCGATAAACAAAGCTTCTGTTATCAATCTCTTCCTATACCCTGTGACATTAGATTTTAAAACTGTCATCCTATCCCATCCTATTGTATGGTTGTGTGTGACTGCATGTAGTGCTATAGCGGAACTATTCTCTAGATTTCTCATCTAATTTGCGTCAACCAATCTAGATTTAGCTAGGTTTTTATGTTCGGCTAGTCTGACTGCCCCTGTTCTACTAGTTTGACCTATGTATTTGACCTCACAATCATTGCAGGGTATTAGATAAACTAAATTGTAAATCATCAACAATAATTCCATACAAGGAAGGAACCTCGGAAGCCTTACGCAGAATTCTTAACAAGGCAGGAATAAAAGTCGCCGGGATTCAAACCCACAAACTCAATTAGAAACAAGCTTTGTCGGTTAAAGGATAAATCCTGTGGAGCCTTTAAAACAAAATAATCTAGTTTATCTAATATCCTGTCTGCAATGATTGTGAGGTCAAATACATAGGTCAAACTAGTAGAACAGGGGCAGTCAGACTAGCCGAACATAAAAACCTAGCTAAATCTAGATTGGTTGACCCGAATAAGATAAGAAATCTAGAGAGTAGTTCAGCTATAGCACTACATGCAGTTACACACAACCATACAATAGGATGGGATAGGATGACAGTTTTAAAATCTAATGTCACAGGGTATAGGAAGAGATTGATAACAGAAGCTTTGTTTATCGAATCAACGCCAAATACATGTAATAGGAATGATTCAACACCTGTCCCAGATATATGGAAAATCCTACTGCCCATACAACAAATAGGAGAAGACAGAGAAAACTATAAAAATCAAATCTCCAAGTCGTGTGACAAAAATTGATATGATTATGAACAATAAATTGTGTTCGAAACGTCATCCAGTATACAATAGTGTTTCACTGTGTGATACATTTAATAATCAAACTAATATGGAATTACTTAACACCACAGTGCCCAAGTTTTACACATATATTAACATATGTATTAGCTCAGTCAAAAGTCGAAAGTGCGTAATACAGAGAGTGTAAATCGGATGGGAATTGGAATGGAATTTAATAAGTAAGTTGCGCAACGTAATGGAAGTGAGAGGATGGAGTAGTACTTGATTAAAATTGAAAGAGTCAAGTTAAGATCACGGCTAGAAGAGAGAAAACTAATATAATCTGGAAATAAATTATTAGAATTAGGAGAAATCAACTAACGTGTCAAGACAAATTAATTACGTCCCTTGTAGGTTCGGCGACTGAACAAATTGCTTCCGTATGCAGAGTTTAGGACTTACATGTGGATTGTCATAGCTTCTTTGTATTTAAGAAGTTTGATTCGTACTCCCTTGGCAGGATTTCCGCATGTTCTATAAATGCCCCTGAAGTTGGTTTGCAGGTTCGCTAGGTGTGCAAAGTCGATCAGATGTTTCAGAATTTAGCTGCAGGGAGATCTTTTCCCCATTTGAGGGCAAAAATTTGTTTGATTATACGTTTGGATAGCAAAGACTCAAGTACGGTCGATATACCTAGCTCCACAAGAGCACATGAACTGATAGATACACATTAATGAAGCTAGTAGTGGTAGCTTATCCTTCACATTTATATGAATCATATTTTTTGAGGAGAAAAAGATTTGGAGTTCAGTTGCGAAGGTTTTGTTCAGTGAACGGGACAAGCGGTTTCTTCGCATGTCTGTCGATAAGTCTCCACTGAACTGAGGATTCAGAGAGAGAAGCTTTCGGGGGCACAGAGTGGTGCTATTTTAGTGGCATAGAATTCATGGCTTTTGTAATGTAGCGTTTCGTATGGCTGTTTTTAAAGGGAAGCCTTTTTAGTGTTTAGCACCCCTTCAATAGTGTCAGGGCTACAAATGCTAAGGATTCTATAGTTTGATAAATAGATGGGGTTTCGTTTTGCAATATAAAGGCACCCGGCTGCAGAAGTTTGTCATTTGTCCGTCCCATCTTTAGTAACTTTTCTATGTAAGACATTTGTCTTACAATAGAGATGATGAAATCGAAAATAATTAGTAAGTTGTTATAAGGAAAATCACACCTTTGACTTGACGCAGTGATACTTTTCAACTGAGGATGACGGTTAAGTCAGCTGGTAATGTAGAAGGATAGACCAACTAAAGAAAACAAAGCCAAATCTTCCTGAAATCTATTCATATATCGCTCTCCAAGGTAGAGTAGAATTAAGGCACTGTAGTAGAGTATAATTCCACAATGGAATAGCTTTATTTCGGCAAGGCATATAGCAATACAATACTGTCGAATTGTAGATGACATTACTATGAGCAATGAGTTGTGCTCGACATGTCATCAGGAAAATGAATATTACTGTATCATTCACTACGTTATGTCAGATAAACTTGCTCTTTTTATAGAATGATCAGTGCTTGGAGCATTAACTTTTAGAGGTAAATAAGATACTAACAGCTTTAACCGGCCCTATTTCCGTCATTTTGTTAATCGTTATGTAAATTATTTTTTCTTACCTTATTTTCCCATTCAAATTCAGACCACATTTGTCGAAATTCACTTGGTGTACAAGTGGCTGGCATGATGTACTCCATAATATCAATGTGAATATCGTTTAAAACAATACATGTTGTTTCACCGGATGAACCTCGAACATCATATGATATATTTCCAAAGATGATACCATTTTCAGTAGACGAAACCTAAGAGAAAAGAATGAGTAAAACAGATTAATTTTACAAATTCAAACAATTCAATATGCGGAAAATAATTCGACACACTACTGATGCTATTTCTATAAGTAGAGCTGTTAAGTTTTGTCTCTGAACTATTAGGTTGTCCTCTATGGACCTCATTCCAACTGCAGACATTAAATTAGACAGGTAAAACGATCAGAAAAGCTCATGGAATGGAATTTATGTAAATTTCGACAGTTTCTGTCCAACCAGCTACAAGCGAACACTAGTCAAAACATTAGTTCACAGAGCAGGAATGACATGATTCAGTGACAAAGTGAAGAAAATGCCTACGAGACAACAGATACCCACAAAAGTCAATAGAATAGAAAAAGTACTCCAGTGAATAAAGTCTGTCTTCATCACTCCAAGATTGAAAAGTGATAACTTCGGTGATCACTGGCTAGGATTTTTTTTTGCTGTTAAATTGACTCCGGTGTACCGAACAACATATTTATTAGTTCAATCGATTCAAGTTTACCTGCCAAGGCAGCTACTTTGGAAGAACAGAACGAAGGAACTATCTACATTTTCTGAACACATACCAAAAATTCTGCGATTAAGAGGAAGTGAGTGTTTGAATAGTACAGTCACGAGACGTCTGTTTGACACAGGCCATCAGGCAGATGCTTTAAGACAGTAAATAAACAAGCAAGCTCAAGCCTCTTAAAGTTCGCAGACATCAACGCTATCAAACGGCTAATTCTTTTTGGCCATTTGATCTTCAGTAGGGAGTCATGGAGGACAGCTGTTGATGTTAGTCTGCAACCTGTTGGAAATCCCTTTCATTGAATGCCAAGTTTCACGTCAAAATTATCTTCCATAATTTATGCTTTAAGCGGCCAACAAAATAGTGACGAAATAAATTGGATGCTTTTTATTCTCCTCTCTCATTAGCCTTTGTGCAGAAGGTAATTCAGTCTATTATTATAAACCTAAGTGTGATTGGTAAATTGCATTGCTTTTATTTAATGCAAATTGTAGTTACCTGTATACAGATAACTTTTCGTGATGAGGTTAAAATACAGTGGAGGAATATTGTTAAGTACATACTATGAGAGCAGAAGATAAGAGAGAATTGGTAACACACCTTTATTAAGTAAAAATGCATCATATTTATAAATTTTCAGCCAAACTAAAATTCGACTTAATTGGCAGACAATAAATTGTTCTGATTGGTAGGCCGGTTAGCATAAGGTTAAACAAAGAGACGAAAAAATTTCCAGTAAGGTTATTTCATGCCCACATCATAAACTATATCAAGATTTGAGGAATAAACACTTTTACCCTTGCAGCCATTGACTTAAAATGTTAATTTCAGTTTTGGCCACTTCCTATCAGTCTGCATCTATGCACTACTTTTAAATCTTGTCAGTAGCACACGCCACAGAACTAATATGTGGCCATCTTAAGTTTTCCTTCCACGAATTCTAGTACATCCAAAGAAATATAAAAATTAGGAAAACAACTCACAATACAGTTAGAAATAATAAAATGCAACAATCACAGTAGTATATAAAACAAATAATTACAAATACAAATCAAGAAAAACTTCGGTGGGCGATTAAAAAAAGAAGTAGCTCTATAACCTAGCGGCTAGGATTCCCAGCTTTCATCCAGGAGCGCTTTCTGTATCGGTGGTTCAACAGCAGAATGCTCTCTAATCAAGTACATGGCCTGAGGTTAGATCACCAGCCGACTGTCTTCTACACCTCAGTTAGCCGCTAGTAAGACGGAATGTTGGGTATCAAGCCAGCAACTCTATCTCGTAAAAATAAATAACACCACTGCTACTGAAACTCCAAAGCTCGATTCGAAACGCGAAAAAACAAAATAAATCTATAATCAAAGAATTTGATTAAACCTCAATAGAAAAACGATAACAATCACACTAATGATAGAAACTTCAGTTCACAACCCACAAGCAGACAAACACGATTATCGGATAATGTTAAACTCAGATCTTTGTAAACAAATAAATAAATCATTTACGAATGTGTCAGTCAATCGAAGATATTTCATCATCCAGCTGATCGACGTTACATATGCTACATCAATTCTATATACAGGAACAAATACTTGAGATGAGTTTCTTTAAATTAACAGAGCCGTTTATCAAAGAGGTTAAAAAAACTTGTATACAACTAGCAAATATAAAAGCCAAAATGTTAGGGAAAAAGAACAAACCTTAATGTTTGCTTTGATATTAGCAAAATCTTGTGGTGCGATAGTCAGAGGGCTTGGTTTTTCAACCAAACGCAAATCACCTAATGTAGATAATTCAAGTGTTAAATTCTGTAGAGTATCTTTAGTTTGATTGACCACCAGAACATCTAATAAGATATCGAATTGATTCACATGGACATAAGCTTCTGCATACACGGGATCAGAGAAACCAGTTAATTGATGGACCTATTTGTTAAGCGAAGATAAAAACAAGATAAAAATCTATTGTCAAATAACCTGAGGTAGAAAATCAATTTACAGTGAATTGAATTATTAAAAAAGATATCCATACTTCTAAACAAAACGCAAACACTAAATATTTTCAAACTAGCAGGCTTAATGAGAAACGATTATTAATAACCACTAATAAACTTCTGCTTTCAGAATGCAAAGGCAGTAACACTTTTTAGAGTTAGTCATTCAAGAAAAACACCCTACTCACTTCATATTCCCTTCCAACGAGCACTAAGATTTCGACCTTAGATACCACTAACATAGATAAACAATGATATGTATGTCTCTCTTAGTTTAACTGCTACTCAGCCAATCTACTTAGAATACTGTTATTTCAAAGGAAAATCATTTTAACTAGTATAATATGTACTTCAAACACAAGGAGAGACACTGTTTGACTTGGAGACCCCCTTCATCAAACCAACGCTGGACACAAATAGACCACATAGCAATAAGCTATCGTTGGCGTGGGTCGGTAGGAGATTGTCGCTCCTTCTGGAACACGTGTGTAGATACCGACCATGCACTGGTCCGCGCTCGGGTGTGCTTACGACTGAACGGACGTAGGAAACAGCTGGCGGTAAAACCATCACGTCCCCAGCTCGATCAGGAAACTAAATCCGTATTTGAGGAAGAACTAGCTAAACACATATCTGTGTTCGACAGCTGTGCTCACCCTGAAGAAGCTTGGAAAAATATCCAGGCAGCCATAGATACAGCTGTAAAAGCTGTGAATAAGGTAAACCCAAAGGTGAGTAAAAACCACTGGATCTCCACCGCCTCATCCGAACTGATAGATGCTAGAAGACTTATTCCGGCGAGCTCCGAATTCAATGAGGAGCGAAAGCTGCACAAGAGGAAACTTACGAAAAGTCTCCGCAAGGACCGTGAACAGTGGTGGGCGACAAAAGCCAAAGAGATGGAGAAAGCTTCGAGGATAGGCAACACCAGGCAACTCTTTAGACTCATCAGGGAAACGGGTGGGAGAAGACAAATCATCAGTGAAACAATCTCGGAAAAAAATGGCACTATAATTAGCTCCCAGGATAGACGACTGGATCGTTGGAAAGAGCATTATGAGGAGCAGTTTAATTTGCCCACAGCCACGCTCAACCTTCCGAGCATCCAACACCTCCCTGAATGGGATATAGACACAGGTCCTCCGTCACTAACTGAGGTTACTAAAGCTGTCACCAATCTGAAACTAGGCAAAGCAGCGGGACCTGATGGAATGACTCCAGAGGTATTTAAGTACGGTGGAGACAGCTTACTGTCTGGATTAACTGAGGTACTAGGCAGCGTCTGGGAATCAGAAGAAGTCCCATCGGGTTGGTGTAAGTCACTGATTATCCCCATATACAAGAAGGGAGACAAGTCTTCCTGTGATAATCACAGAGGGATTAGCTTGACTAATATAGTATCTAAAGTCTTAGGCTCAATAATCATGCGTAGACTGAGTGGTGCTCGGGAAGCACAAACACGAGAGAGCCAGGCAGGCTTTAGACCAGGAAGAGGGTGTATTGATCATATCTTCACCCTCCGACAGATTCTAGAACATAGGCATTCCTACCGGCGTCCAACAGTCATTATATTTCTTGACCTAAAGGCAGCATTCGACTCTGTCGATCGGGAAGTTCTCTGGAGATGCTTGGCTGTAAAGGGAATTCCGAGAAAATATATTGCACTGATTAAGGCACTCTACTCGTACTCATACAGCCAGGTGAGGGCTTACGGCGAGCTGTCATCTGAACTGATGACGACCAGTGGTGTCCGTCAAGGATGCCCATTATCTCCTTTTCTATTCAACTTCATCATAGATGTGTTAATGGACTTAACCCTAGGTGACTTCAGCGACTCAGGGATTGACTTGCTACCGGGAATAATCTCGTTGACTTGGAATATGCAGACGATATAGTCCTTCTAGGCGAAGACGCTGACGAAATGCAGAGTCTTCTAAACACCTTGAGCGCAATCTACGAATGTTTGGCATGCGATTCGCTCCCGCCAAATGCAAGATGATGTTACAGGACTGGACTACATCGACGCCTAGTTTAAAAATAGGAAGTGAAGTGGTAGAGCACGTTGACCGCTTCACTTATTTGGGAAGTACCATCACCAGCCAACGGGTTGATCTCTGACGAAATCTCAGCACGAATACAGGGGGCTCGTTTCGCATTTGTTAGTTTACGCCGACTCTGGCGTAGACGAGATGTTCGACTATCGACCAAAGGGCGGGTGTACTGCTCATCAGTCCGCTCCGTCCTCCTTTATGGTTGTGAGACCTGGCCACTGAGAGTGGAAGACATGAAAAGACTAGCTGTCTTTGATCATAGGTGCCTGCGTTCTATTTCCCGTGTAAAGTGGCATAATAAGGTGAGCAACATTGAGGTTAGGCGTAGAGTTCTAGGTAAACAGGGGAAATCAATCGACGAAGTCGTGAAGCTACAAAGACTGAGATGGTTAGGACATGTGTTACGTATGCCAAGCCATCGCCTCCCTCGACGAGCAATGTTAGCGGATATAGGGTCAGGCTGGAAAAAAGCTAGCGGCGGTCAAACAAAAACTTGGCACCAGTCAATGAAATCCACAACAGTTGGTCTAAGCCACGTAGGAAGGTGTAGACTTCCAGGCTGGGGTCCTCGGGACGGTAAAAATCTATGGTTGGAAACAATTGGTGACATGGCTCAAAATCGTTCTCAGTGGCGCGCAGATGCATCCACTCCTTGTGACTTATGATCTCCAATGAAACTGTTTTGTTCTTCGTTATTACTCCTTTGTCTCACACCTCTGCTCACTGTTTCTATTATGCTTTTCTTGTACTTTCTTCTCTTGCTTCGCGTGCTACACGGAGTGTGGCGACTTGAACTTCCGCACATTTGTGCAAAGTTCTATGTCGAAAACAGACAGACAGACAGTATAATATGTTAAGAAACTTAGACATACAAGCTTGACGAGAACATCTAAATAAAAGTTTGGTTGCATGAATGTGTATGTGCTTCGAGAAAATGAAAACAATGGAAAGACTGATCTCTAAGCTGCTTAATTTCTTTCCAAACTGTCCTTTGTCATTCTTTGTTTTGTGTTAAACTTTATACTACTTACTACTGGTAAGTAGTATGGGTTGTATTATTAACTTCATAAATGACTTTGTGTGCTATTGAAGTTTAACTTTATTTGATGTATAGTAAATATAAATAAAATAAATAAATAGTATTTTCTTTCAATTAAATATTATCTACTGCATGTGCTTTATTTATACACCCTTCACTGTTTAACATTATTTATTTGTATTCTTTTATTCTTTGTCTGGTATACGCGCACTGTTTAACAGACGGGTTAGTCGCCTTTGAAACAGCTATGCTGTTATTTCTTACTAAACCCAAGGAGAGTGCGTTTGACGGGATTCAACCATAGACACTTCACAATTTGAGGTTTGTATATTATATTTCATTGTTTTATGTATAATGCGGTACCGCATTCCAGAAAAATCCTGTTATTTTGGATTTTACGTGTCACGTTACGTGTGGTTTAACTAATCATTTGGATTATCGCTCCGGTTTACTTGGAAGAAATTCACATAAGCATTGTCACAATATTCAATGGTACTATTTGTTGTCTGGTGAGTTTTCAAATGGTTTACTGCATCAACATTCAGTTATGAGAATGCCAAAGAGAAATAAACACTTGGCAAAAATTGCAGTTCACACTTACCTTATTAAGCTTAGATGTGGCATATGCATCACCAGATGCACCTTTACCAGCTGCACCCAATGCTTGACTAAGCGTTAAATCAAATCGATCTACAGTATCGCCAAATTCTGTTTGACCAGTGAGCAAAGAAAATTTGATTGGTGCATCTGCACGATTCAGCTCAGCTAGCTGTTTCTGATGTTCAATTAAACCTTGGTTACGAGCTTTAGCATTACTTTTACGTTCCGATTCTTGGTAGGTAAGCATTTCAGCTAGACAAGCACGAGAAGTTCGTTCAAAAGCTTCTAAAACCTCAGGACGACGATCAGCTAAGATCTGTAGGAGTGAAAAAGACAATCAGCATGTCGAATTTAAATTTGAAAATATAACCAGGAATTGGCTACATTTTCAAGATAAAGTATTCGCGTATCTATAGTACTAATGAGTCGAAAAGCCGAACAATATAAAATGATACAAAAATAACGGAGTTACTATACACAAATGATAACTAGCAAAGTAATAGATGTACTGTGGAACATTCCTTCCCTGGCGTGTATTTTAACAAAAAATTAGGAAGTATGGTTACGACGTGCAAGACTTGATGAGACAGTATTAAGTAAATAGACAAATTACTTCTATGCTTCCACTTAATGCAACATATGTGATACAGCTTTAACAAGTTACTGTTGCCACCATGAACAATCCGGTGTGGCAGAGGATGGATAGACTTCGGTCTTCCTCGCGAGATCCTCTCATGTGGTCGCACGTTCATAATCTACCTCTGTAAGGTAGGTCCTGTTCATTGTCTTTACGCGACAGAGGGTGAATACGAACATCTGGTGCTTATAACCGGACTAGTAGACGTTTTAGTCTACCAAGGGGAGCTGGATAACCCTTATGTCAAACCTATGGTGTATATGGACTCCACAATCCGGGCGGATCGAATGACGTATGAACCTGTTCTGGTCACTGAAAACTGTGGGAACGCAGATCTTGACGCTGCTCCATTATTTTGTGGATCAGACTTCAAGCCAAAGACAACCATCTGCTTTTTCCTGGAAGTCTGGGTAGTATACCTCGCACAAGTCATAAGATTTTTAGTAGCGCATCTCCTGGTGCCTATAATGTACCAATTTTGTTTTAATAGTAACAGATTGTGTAAAAGAGTAACAGGTATAGTATAACGAAGGGAACTGTTACGTAATACTTCTTAGTGAAATATACTAAATTATTTAACTGAACCACGAATAATTCCATCCCTTGAATTCAAGGCAGTGAAGTGAACACAGCATAATAATGGGAAACGGTTTTGCAATTATTGGTGTTTTCTGAGCTGGTTGGTTTAGTTGCGGAGCTTTCGTCGTCCTTCTGGACAACATTTTCAGCACAATATTTAGCATAAAGTAAAATGATTTAGATTTCTTCATGAGTGTCTCCCGTTAACCATATATATTGACCATTTTCTATTGACTTGGATTTTAAACTTTCTGGTCACCTGATTTACCTTTTATTAGTTGGTATGTAACAACAGGAAACAAGGGCCAGGCAATATTTCATTTATTAAGGAAATCAACACGTATTTATGTATATTTCATGTACATTATTATAGTTTATTCAGTCAGACAAACACAGCCTTCTGACTGGTTGTTTCTTGCTCAAGGTTATTCAGTACTGCTTGTAAATGGTTTCTCAGAAAGTTAAGCCATATATCTGCATATCGTATTTGCCCACCTTAAGTCTGCTGTGATTGGTTGTCGAATCAATCTTGTTCATATTTTCTCACGTCCAATATTAGCGACATAGACATTGACGTAAATTGAAGTCTACCAATTGGCTAGCAGCCTGCTATCACCACAGGTATATTTCGTCTATATTAATGTGTTTGTTAGTTGCATTTTCGTTCGAGTATCAGGCTTCTAGGAATCCCTTGGCACTTTTGGTGTTTCCTTTGTCTAAGATTTAGACATCATCCCAATCAAATCGATGTCCATAATTGTCTATATGCATTGATACTAAAGAATATATATCGTGTCTTTTCACGGTTGATTTGTGTTCTTGGATTCTTATTCGAAGGCGACGCCCACTTTGGCCGATGTAATGCCTGTTACAGTTCATAAATGCAATTTATTTTGTAAATGGTATTAATTTTATCTTCTTTTTCTGTTAGATCTTTCGCTTTGCATAATATCGAATTAAGCGATTTGACTGGCTTGTCTGCTATATGTATATCAAATGGTTTCAGTATTCTAGCTGTTATTTCAGAGATATTTCTGATGTATGGTAGGATGAATTTTCTTGTGGTCTTTGATGATGGTTGTTTATTGGTGCTTTGATTCGACTCTTAACACTTTTTGGTGAAATTCTTTGGATAACCGTTCTTTTGAAGACCGTTTGTAGTATTTTTTTCCATTCTTTTCAACTCTAGTGTGCTACAATGTGTTTGAACTCTTCTAAACAATGTCTGCACACAGTTTCGTTTGTGAGTAATTGGATTACTGCTAGTATAGTTAAGTATTTGATCTGTGTGCGTTGATTTTCTATATACTTGTGTATCTAAATTTCCTGTGTTGGTTCTCCTGATTAAGACATCTAAAAATGGGATTTTGTTATCTAATTTTTCTTCTCTTGTGAATTTGATGTCTTCAAATATGTTGTTTATTAATTTATGGGTATATTCTAAATCATTTCTCTTAATTATTACAAATATATCATCAACGTAGCGTACCCAGGTTTTTGGTTTAATTACGGATAGGTAGAGCTATTAATTATAATCTTTGCATGACGGCTTCAGCTATTAATCCTGATATGGGCGATCCCATTGATGTTCCTTTTATCTGTTCATGTATTTGAGTAGTGAATTTGAAGTATGTTGTAAGGTATAATTTTATGAGTTCTATCCAAGTTGAACATTGCGTTTTTTATGTTTTCATCATTATAGAGTAATTCTTGCATAGTTTCTATGGCTAGTTTTGAACCAGTTGAAGTATATAATGCTGTGACATCAAAGGACACCATTATTTCATTGTCTTCTACCTGAATGTTTTTGATTTTCTCTAAAAATTGGATTGACGAATTGATAGAATGGTCGCATGATTCTGTTGGGTAATTTAACTTCCTGAGAAGTTCTTTAGATAGATTATATGTTGGTGTTCCTGGAAGCGAAACGATTGGTCGTAAGGGAATGTTTGGTTTGTGTAGTTTTGGCCTACTATAGAATCGAGGCAAAATAGGTCCGTTAGATTTCATTCGCCATTGATCTTGTTTTGTAATTTGTCCTGATTTCGTTAGTTTATTTAACGCTGTTTTGATTTTGTTATCTAATGTTTGTATAGGGTTTTTCGTCAACTGTTGACATACATTATCTTGAGTAAGTCCTCTGCTTTCTTTATGTAGTCTTCTGTGTCCAAGATATGATATGATGTATAACTCTCACTTTGCAAATCTATAAAAAAGCTTGAAATTACTAAAAACATTTACAGCTAACCAGGCTACTCTGAATATTCCAAAAAAACAACCTGTAACCACACTTATAAGTGACTGATAATTCACAAAGTGTAAGTCACATTGTTAACTAGATTCCTAATATACAACAAACAGGTGGTCAGTAACACAAGTTACATATTACACACTAAAACGGCAACTTACTTTTAAACAAATCCACATACGATCAAGATGATCAGGATTGACTTGATGTGGAAGTAGCTGACTTGTAGCTAAATGTATCATACTAGCAATAATAAGCATACATTCAGCGGCAAATGAATTCTCCTTCGAGGTGAATTTACTTTTAACGCCTTCATCTTTACCAGCCTTGTTTTGTTCACAATTCAAGATACATGAATAACGATAGAACAACTTCACTAAACAAACAGATAATACAACTCCAGGCATATAATGCGATTCAAATAGTGCTGCTTGTAGAACAGGTCGTTTGACAGTATTCCCTGAACCAGATGCATCTTTGTTTGAACCTTACACGTTAACAAAGAAAGCAGCAAACACGAATTATGAGATTTGTTTTAATTACAGTTGAATGAACTAAAAACTAAACTGAGTCATTTATGAGAGGTTCAAATTAGTTACATTAACAGAAAACCAATTTGAATTGATAAAAAAAGGAGCCTTTAATATCACTTTCAATGAAATAATTTCACAAAGAAGCAGATGCCAAGCTTGAACTAATTCACATTATAGGATAGAGTCATAGACAGAGAATAGCAGAAAATTAGGTCAGGGGAAGCATGGACTATCCGGCTAAGATGTAGTAACAATTTGCGAGACCACAGACTATTGGCCGGAAAAGTGAGTTCTCTGGCTAAGATTCATGTAACAACTCGGATCTACGGGCAGGCAGACTAGGTAATCATGTTTAGAATAGATTTCAGTGATAAAATTGTGGTGAGAGCTGGTTGCTAGCCAAAGTTGGTAGACAGTAATTTGCGTCAATGTTTATGTCCCCAATATTGGTCGTGAGAAAAATGAGAACAAAGGCTTTGCGTAGGCGGATACAGTTAGCATATAGATGATCTGATATTCAAGAAACAGCCACAAAGAGATGAAAGATTAACTTTCTGTGAGAAACAACCAATCGGAAGACTGTTTGTCTACTAACAATAATCTATAATAATGTACATGAAAATCTATAAGTACGTGTTGATTTCCTGGATAAACGATCTGTTGACTGGCCCTTGTCTTCTGTTGTTACAAAATTACTCATATCATACGATTATAGGGAATAAATTGTATTCGAAAAATCATCCAGTAAATAATACTGAATTAATATGTACCATGTCAAATAAACATTTAATAACGCAAACTCTAACAATAAGCATCGATGACAAATATGAAATGCCGGCATGTTTTTTAGCGTTTAAGAAAAAAGAAAGGTCTACGGAGAGTTGACGCACTGGCTTAAGAGGTCGGCCTTCATTCATTCGGTCCAGAGTTCGAACCCTAACCCCACCTTCAACCTAGGCGCAACTGATTGGCATCATCAGCTAATATATGATAAGTGTAACTCACACCACTGTGCACTTAAAAGTTGTTCCATTTAACTCAGCTTAAACAAAACAAAACAGGAAGTCTCCGGCTATACTGTTGTAGACTCTTACTACTGAAAAGACATATAGAAGTAATAACGTTAACTCAAGCAAAATCTATATTTTACATATTGTCGAATATAAGTGTAAATTTTTTTAAATGTACCATGTTTTTTGTAACTATAAGAAGCTCTTAACAGATAAAAGGTAATCAAATTATGTTGTTAACTACTAACTTACGAAGCGTAAGAGCTGACTGAGTCGCATATGTTCCATCTGCAGTAACACGCTGTGCTGGATTGACCCCCACATTTACATCACCTGATATAAGCACAGATGGTTGGTTACGATTTTCAGAAGATGGATCCATTGAATTTACTTGATCAGCTTGTCTACGGAGTTCTTCATCAACAAGCGGTAGCTCACCAATGACCTTAAGAAAATGTTTAGGAAAAATGTATGGACCGAATATGTCATATATATATATACTTCTGGAAATCCCACCATTATTTTATGCAAAAACCTAAGAACTCTAATGGTAGCTTTTGTATCACTGACTTTGATATGGTAACTTAGGAAAGTAAGGAATTGAGAAATTCAGTGAAGAAAGTTTTAATTAACCAACAATTTCACTTTGAGCATTGAGTGTTCGTTAGTAGGAATGAGGTTCCTTCACGTAACAGCTTTTTTAACGTTTTTAAGGCTGAAAAACTCTCTGCTATTTCACGATGAAGATAAGGAATTATAGCTATGAATTACTGAGATAATGGCTGGCATACAGAAAATTCGGGTGAAGGTTCATCAAGTTGATCAGTGCCAGAATGGATATACCACTCTGTGTAGGGGATTTACGTCAAACAAAGAAGTGTGTCAAAATCTTATGCTTACTAGTGCACTATTTTGCTGTACTTCTTAGGAATACGCAAATTAATGACTAGAAAAAGCAGCCAGTCGAGATCTTATTACAGCTTCTCGCGACCTCCCAGTAACAAATAAAGAGTAGTAGCTCCTACTTCACTTCCTCCAATAATTTTTTATACACTTTAACTTGTTCTTGCATATTTTCACAGGATATTAACAGATCACTTAGACTACTCAAGTTGTAATTTTGTGTTTCCCAATTATAATGCTAATATGTAAAATGCTCATGTTGCACAAAGCAGTTGCTATAGAGAATAATAATGGGTGTCCTGTAATTCTCTTAAGAAGAATATTTAAACTCACCTGTCGAACGAGTGTTATAAAAGCATTAATCTCTTCATAAGTGGTACAATATTCACCAAAAATCCACAACACATGTCGTAGAGTCTCGCGTCCAACAATCGAAGGAAAAACTTGCATTAGTTTTTCAAGAACATCAGCTTTTTTGTCCGGAAATCGTTCCATAATTTCACGTAGAAATCTACACGCCTCATTAGCAGCTCTTGTATCATTGATTTCTTCATAGGTTAGAATCTTTTAAATTAAAAACAAGCGTTGAATATTTGTTAGTATGGAGAGTAAAATATGAAGCAAAGCAGTAAAATTAGTCTTCATTTTTACACTAGCAGTCCATTATTATTAACGTGTTTTATTTTCCTAGGTGGGCTTTATAAGAATCGACTTATATTATACGCACCATTTGGTGCATCTGCACACAGAAAACCAATCGACTAAAGATTAAGTCGTGTAATTTTGATTTCTTAAGTTGCTGTTAGGTGTATTAGCTAGAAATCAGTTATCTAGCATAGATCTTGATGGAGATTTTTTAGCTTGGATAAGAGATATTGATGTTGCTGTGTCCTCTGAGTCGAATGGTTTGTGTAGCTTTCTTTGTCCTCCTAGACACATACAACACTGACTTCAATATGAAGTGAGCTTTAAGAATTATCTATGAGTTTATCGGTTATCTGGTAGACTGTAAGATAATGTTAAAAGCTCACTTCATAGTGAAGTTTGTGCTGAACATGTTGTCTGGAGACACGACGAAAGCTAAGCAACTAAACTATTCGTGGTTCAGAGAACATAACACCAATAGCCTAGGTTGTAATGCAGTATACTACACTACGAGACATGCTATTTGTGTAAGGACTGACGATACTAGTTAGTCTCCCGGATAGAAGTAGGTCAGGACAATGGACCATGTTTCCACAGGTCGATGAGAATAAGTTGATTAGAATGAGCAAGATCTGAACAACCCGCTAAAGCTCATCTAATAAGCATATTGGTAATCATTAATACCCACTTAACGATTACATGTTAATATGCAATATGCATATTCCCACTAACAAGTAACAATTGTGAATGTGACACTTGATAATTTTTAAATGCACTTAAGAGCATTAGAGTTATTCCAGTAAATAAAGTTATGAATTCCAAGTGATTGTAAATCAGTCCAAGATACATAGGTGAAAGCTTCCGGCATGAAAACAAGATCTGAATGATTGTATGCGAGTAAATAAATTCCACTAATTTTGTCTGACCTGAAGTTGAAACTGTAACTGGCAAAAACCAACAACTCACTCATAATTCCAATTATAACACTACAAACTTACAACTGATAACGGCCGGCAGGATGAAAAGAGAATGGAGAAAAAACAACATATTGCTGTTTACTGAAGTAGTACTTACATCACAAATTGTCGGTACAATAGTGGGTAATATTTCTGGAAATCGTAGAGAAATATCATATATGGTGTGGACCAATGAATAACGATATACAGATTCATCAGAATTTTGCTCCTCTTCTCCAGGTGTCTTCGTACTATCACTAGTTGTAGCTGAAGCTCGTGTATTCGTACTGCATGCTTTGATCAATTCTTTACGGAATATTTTGATTAATTCTTCTGCTGTACGAGCAGTTACTAAATCCATCGTTAAATCAAGTGCCTTCTGGCGAACCTCCATATCAGAAGCATCTAAAAACGATAAAGGCGGTTAATTAGCAAACCATAAAAACAAAAAAACTTACTTATAATCTGTACTATATCCATAACAAGATCCTGTAAAATACGCTCATGATATTGACGCAGATCAGTGAGGCGTGATAAAACAATTAGTTTTACATTGTTATCACTTTCTTTCAAAATTAAATTGATGTAACAGCTTGCAGCTGCCTTGATGGCACTTGGAGCTGAACTAAGCGTTGTCAATGTTCCAGCAGCTTCATAGCGCACAGCGGCACTACTAGACTGTAGTAGACTATAAATGCATCGAATAAAGCGTAGTCTTTCAGATGGTTTAGCAAGGCATACCTAGAAGATGAATAAGATTGTATTAACACGAACTTACTTTGTAGATTAGTTCTACAACTACAAGCTGCAATATATCACCGAAATTCTGCACTTCATCCAAACAAGAAGTTAGATAGTCAAGAGCGGTACTCTGACTAACATGAAGTAACATCATAAAGGCATTTCTTTTGCAAGAAGAATCCTGTTCTTGTTCCAGGAATCGTAAGATTCTTTCAGGAGCATCAGGAATAAGTGATTCAAAGTTCTTATATATGGTGAAGATTGCCAATACTGCATTACGTCGAACATAAGCATGCCGATGCTCTAAACATTGTTGAATAGATGGCATAATAGGTTCCAACAGTTCGGGTTCTTTTAATTTACACAGAAATCGCAATGTAGACCCTCGAATAAATTCGTTCGGATGTTGTAAATCCTTTCGATAAGCATCACAGACAAGTATCATTTCGTGCAGAAGCTTCCCATCTGAACCATATTTAGGGACAACTTCCCAGAATAAAAGTAATAATTTCTTAATCATATGATCTTGGGATGGCATAACAAAACGAATCACAGTCATTAAAAGATTAGGAAACTTCTCGCCATTAATAATTAATCGAATAAGTTCCTTGAGTGCTTCTCGCTTAACATTGTCGTCGCTGTTTTGCAAATCTTCTTTGAGTTTTTGCTCTGTGTACGCTTTGGCCTCAGATGACACACTAACTAATGTGTAACATATTTGATCAGCCGCCATACTGCTGGAACTAGAAATTGAAAATGCATAGATTATTAATAAATGAAAAAATTTGTCAGGTATGAACCAAAAGATTAACTTGATAATTGCTATGATATAGTCATATCTGATAACCGAACAAAGCGATTTAAACTGGCTGAAAGAAAAACCATAGGATCTTTTATAGAATTGCAATCTGTCTGTCTGTCTGTCTGTTTTCGACATAGAACTTTGCACAAATGTGCGGAAGTTCAAGTCGCCACACTCCGTGTAGCACGCGAAGCAAGAGAAGAAAGTACAAGAAAAGCATAATAGAGACAGTAAACAGAAGTGTGAGACAAAGGAATAGTAATAACGAAGAACAATATAGTTTCATTGGAAATCATAAGTCACAAGGAGTGGATGCATCCAAGCCAGCCATTGAGAACGATTTTGAGCCATGTCACCAATTGTTTCCAACCATAGATTTTTACCGTCCCGAGGACCCCAACCGGTGAGGAAGTCTACACCTTCCTACGTGACTGGCTTAGACCAACTGTTGTGGATTTCATTGACTGGTGCCAAGTTTTTGTTTGACCGCCGCTAGCTTTTTTCCAGCCTGACCCTATATCCGCTAACATTGCTCGTCGAGGGAGGCGATGGCTTGGCATACGTAACACATGTCCTAACCATCTCAGTCTTTGTAGCTTCACGACTTCGTCGATTGATTTCCCCTGTTTACCTAGAACTCTACGCTTAGCCTCAATATTGCTCACCTTATTATGCCACTTTACACGGGAAATAGAGCGCAGGCATCTATGATCAAAGACAGCTAGTCTTTTCATGTCTTCCACTCTCAGTGGCCAGGTCTCACAACCATTGCAATAATCCGAGGTGTCATTTGAAAAAACTAAAGAGATACTTTAAGAACACAAAAATAACTCGATTTAACCTGTCACAGCTGGAAAGAAGACACTATATGGTGTATAGATGCTTGTCATGTAATTAACTTGATTTTCAAGGTAGGAATTCGCACAAAAATGCAGTAATTCAATTTGCAACATTTTAGAAGGGTAGAGAAAAGCAAGATAAAACTATTAAACAGGAATGTGTGACAGAGAGAAATTACAGCAATGAGGATAAGCAGTGAATACATATGCGCCATTTGTGGGTAGTTTTTAACCACGTCAAGCAGTCTTCAAACGTTGATTGTCAACATTCCTGGGACCCCAACCAAGCAGCCTAAACCTACCTAGGTGGTGCCTGCCAATATTCAAAGATTGATTTGACCGCTGCTAACTCTTTTCCTGTCTAAACCCCTATTTGGTGTTCATTTGTACCCTACTAACATGCTCATAGGAGAAACATGGTGGTAAACGGAAAGTGTGAGAGATTCCAATCTTTGGTGAAAAGAAATTTCTTCGCTGAACAAAAAAACTGTGTTTTTACTTATGAATAAATGGGTATTTTTCGTGATTTAAAAAATTAAGAAGTTATTAAGGAAAACAATATGTAAATTAAACCAGTTTGTTGAATGAGGGAGTAGTTCCTGGCAGATTACTGCAAAATTAGAGACCTCTGCAAGATTGCGATCGACAAGATATGTACAGGATGCTAAAGACAAATAGTGTTTCGGCTGCCTACACTGTATCAAAAGACTGTTCATATATTAGTTATAGGGCTTCAATGATATACCTACACTCTAAGAGAAAAGATAGGTGGGACAGTCGGATCAGGTGAAGCTAAGGCTGAAACCCTCTCCAAAAGCTACTTAGGTGTTTCGTCGTTTGACAGAAATACTCGTGATATCAGTGGTGCCACTACCAACCCTAAACAAACGCCATCTAGCATCGAAGTGGTGCATCCGCTACTAGCTAAATAAGTGGAAGCCTCATTAATAATCAGAGCCTGAAGCACTTCAGCCTGGACTCATGTTCTCCTTGGCTGACATAATATACAAACTGCACACAAAGATATTTGCTGTTTTTTTTTACCAAATTATCTAGAGACTGCAAAGATACTGTCATAAGCCCAGTTCTCAGAGGGTGATAAGCAACTAGTATCCAGTTGATGACCAGTAAGCCTTACATGCACTGTCGCTGAGGCATTGGATTAAACCATCGGAGACCAAATACTAGTTTATGTATAGAAACATGGCTTATTGAAGAAAGATAAGAATAGCTTCAAACATGAACGATACGGCTTAACAAATTTACTAGTGGCTATGGAAAGTCAGGCAGAAATTTGATACAATTTGCTGCTCTGCTCAAACTACGTATAACATTTGATGTTTTATCTAGGTCTCCTCAATAAACTTGAAGTGTGGGTTAGATAACACCGAACTTGATTGACTTAGGGACTACCTACTGGACAGAAGGCACAGGGTGAAAGTAAGTGATGTACTTGCGCAGTGGAAACCTGTATTGTGTGAAAAATGACAGGGTACTATTCTAGACCCATTGTTATTCCTACTGTACACTAACGAACGTGATTCTTGGGAGAAATAAAATCTCCTGATTTCAAGAAAGGAACGATTTGTAAATCATTGTCACCTGTAACTTAAAATACCTGTAATACTTTAACAACAGGAGGCAAGACACAGAAGTCAAGGTATATTTACCATTGATCAAACCGCTGTTTATACATCTACAGGTTATATTTGTTGACCAATGATCGAGCGCATGATTTCAGTTTATATCGAACAACATGAAATAGAATGTTCAAATACACATAGTATTCTGTTGTTAATGCAGTATATAACTGTGGGAGAGTATTCTGTCTCTAAAACCAAATGGAATGTTTAAATTGATATATTGTTTGCAGTATTGAACTGTGGGATTAAGATTCCGACTCCAACATCAAATAGATATATTGTATTCTGTTGCTAATGCCGAAATGAACTGTAGGAATATGTAAGAATAATATTTCGTTGGCACACATTGTCTGTATCTGACCACCACAGTACAATTGCAGCCAAAGCTTTCATAAAGCTTTGGGGGAGTATATGTGGGATACTCTGCTATACACGCTAGACCTAATCCTAAATACGGTAAACAGACGAGTAGTTCATGCTTGATATTAAGACAGAAATCTCGAAAAGGAGAAAGAGAGTCCATATATGTGTAAAACTTTGGCACTGTGGTAGTAAGTAACTCCATATTAGTTTGTTTATTAGATGTATCACCCAGAGATACAGTATTATTTACTGAATGACGCTTCGAACAAAATTAATTGTTCATAATATCAATCATATCATATCACAATTGATATGGTTATGAACAAAAAATTTTGTTCGAAACGTCATCCAGTAAATAATACTGTTTCACTGTGTGATACATCTAATAAACAAACTAATATGGAAAGGGATTCCAGGTTAGTTAGAGGCGCCTGACACCTTCCTCATTAGGAAAGAATAAAAATCACACATCTTTTCTGCCGAATAAGATGTATGCGTCGTGATAAGGATATCAGTCAGTAAGCATGAGATGAAACTGGACAAGGAAACTAAGGACAAGCTCCGCATTCCCAACACCAATGTCTAGCCAGTGCACTACTAACGGTTCTCCCAAAGGGGTAACGATACTCATCAACAGATAGTTCATTCGATAAAGATCAAATGACCCGCCGGAAAGGATAAGTATGTAGACAACCAAGGAAACAGACATAAGCCTACTACGCAACAAACAGGTAGAGCTAAATAGAGATGGATACAGCAAACAATGATAAGAGGTTTAAGTAGCATTATACCTCAGCATCACGAGTGGAAACTGAATGGGGACCAACGAGCTTAGCTTCCTAAGCCTACAATAATTCTAAACTGATTCTCACCTATGCGTCAAAAATGGTAAGTGAACATCTACCTGAAAGTAACCGACTACGTATTAAAATAACACCGACGGTTCTTAAAATGAGCACAGAATGATTAAGTAATGAGACTAAACCTTAAAAATTTGGATTTGCAGCAGGAATCATGCCTTGGGTGATAAAATAAAGCTAAATAATTGCCCCTATACGTTGAATTAGGTCTTTTCGTTCTGAAGTAACGCTATTCCGTGCTTAATATGTCCTGTGAGGGCTATAAAAACGCTGATAAGAAAACCCAGGAGGTTCTGATCTACTGAAAATGCTTAGAAAAAGAAGAGTGATGAATTAGTGCCAGTCATGCTGAAAACCAGCAATGAGTTCTAGTCTGTGCCATTAAAGAATCCATTTTAGAACAGATTCATCACTCACTCACAATAGAATGTTTGAGTTAGAACAGAATCAGTGAGATTTAATTCAGCATAAAATAGAAAGCCTGGGTTTTAAAGGTGACTTCAGTGAAATCATAAGACGAGAAAATCAAAAATTTAGGTGGTTGCGAAGCAACGTTAATGGGTGAAAGAGGAATGCTACGGGTGCTAATGTTCTGCTGAGACCCAACGCTTAGGTAAAATGCGAAAAAGTAGTAGTAATATTATTGTAATAAAACACGTTACTGTCATTCAGATCATCATGGAAGTACCCTACGCCCAGCAACAATGATTTTGCCGCAATACCTGAAGTCTAAAAAGCTTCTTTAACGCTTACAACTGTTTATTCTAAACCATAACTGCTCGAATACTCACTTGTTTCCACGTCAATGAAGTTACGCACCTATCAAACTAGGCGCTCTGTTTGACTATAGTACTAGTAGGAGTGTTTCAGATTCAATATTTAGTTTCACTTTTATATAAGACAGTGAATCAGCTAGTGTCCTTATGGGCCAAAACGCCTTGATAGCTCTGATTAGTTAGATCACATCTACTCCTTTTTGACTTCGGTGAAAAAAGCCTTTTTACTATTGAGTAACATTAATTTTGTAAGTGAAATGGTGCAGTCTACTTAATAATAAAGTTACATATAACCGGTCTGATAAGTGAAAGAAAGAGAGTAATGATGGCGCGTTAAGGATTCTTTTACGGAGAAGAAATCAACCAGTTAATTCTCCATCAGATTATTATTTCGTCCCTTGAGGTAATGACAACTCTTTCATTAACGACTACAAATGTTTTTTCTAAGTA